TGTAAATGTGTAATTAGAAAATGTTTAATGAATTAATACATTGCACTAGTGAATAAAAATATGCCATTTGTTTGTGCTGATTGGTGCTGCAAAAGTGAACATTTGTGCCGCTTTGTTTTCAGAGATATTGTGCCCACTTTCCACCCCATGTAATTACATTTAAATAGAAATACAGCATTCATTTATGCTGTGTTTGTGTTGATTTGTGCTGCAAAAAAGAGTTTAGGAGATATTTCGCATTATATTTGATCAACCACAGCTCACTAGAATCCCATGCTATTAAAATGTGAATACAAATGTGTTTGTGCTGATTTGTGTCTCAAAAAACGTGCAGCTTTGGCTGTGTGTTCTCAATCTCCCCCAAGTTTGCACCCCATGTAATTAATTATAAATTAAATTACACTATTCTGCTGGACTAAGCCAATTTTCTTTTCTTTTTTGTGTGTGTGTAAACCAGCCAGGGATTGAGGGCGATAACATAGCAACATACCGTTTAATACAGCATACAAGGGGTTATTGAAGCTTATAGGATTACTCTGAGAATAATGACCGCTCATTGATTTGAAGTGGTTATGGTGCCAGGAGTATATTTGCAGCATTTGAAATCTTGCACATACTGACTTTAATTTCTTTTTAGTATTTATGAAGCCAGGAGTGCCCTCCGGTAATGGGATAAACCATTTAGCAATGGTTTGCACAGTTATGACAATCTTCAATGAAATTTGCAGAGAATTAACATGAGCCACCTCGGATCTCTAGTATGAGAACATCCTGTTGATGCTGCCAAAGGTGGTGTTACACCTCTAGCAGCAAAGGGGTTAAACTCTGCAAGTATGTTTCTTAGTGAAATGCTGCACATATAGACTCTAGGCACCATCATCCCTTTAAACCATTGAGTAGCCACGGTTCTGTAAGTAATTATTTAGCTTTAATAACCCTGTGTATGCTGTCATGTTAAACCGCCTGATGCCTCATTAATCTGTCTGGTGGGATGTTAACCACCTTACTGCCACATTAAACTTTCTGGTACTATGTTAGTCCCTGGTTTCTTAGAATTATCTTTTAAAAACACACACACACACACACACAAATGTGTAGAGACCAGCAAAATAGTGTATTTTCTATGTACGATTAATTGCATGGGGTGCAAAGTATAAACTGGGTGGAGATTGAGATAACATGGCTTAAAATATGTATAATATTGCGGAACCCAAAACTACACAAATGTTGTTTTATGAGACACATATGAGAACAAATGGGACATTTTTATTCACATTTTAATTACATGGGTGCAAAGTGGTTTGATACAAATCAATTATAATGCACAATATTTCTAACCACACTGGCACAAATGTTAATTTTTGCATCACAAATCAGCACAAAGGCAGCATAAACAAGCAGAGTATATATATATTTATATTTAAGTAGTTGGGTTTTGCAGAATTAAGTCAGGACTTCTCTTGTTTTCCTCTCTTAAAGTCTTGGTGCCTTATTTGTGAGGATGAAGTGTTGGGATGAAAAAACACCTTCCCACCCACCCATCACATTCTGGTTATGCAGAAACTCTTCCAACAAGTATTTTGCCTGTTTCCTTAAGGAGTTTGGGTTTAATTGCATATGTGCCATCATTTCATATGACCAGTTAAGAGTAATTTCATGAAATAGGTCATTGTGGGATGTAATTTGTGTGGCTTCCCACTTCCTAGTGATTTCGGTTTTGGCCGCTATAAGGATTTGAAACTTAGGTTTCTTGAAAATGTTGATATGTCTTTAGGTAGCATAAATGGCAAACAAATTGTATGTCCGGTTAGGATGAAGTGAGACTGGAAACCGTAGACCAGCAGAGTTTATGCTCCGTACACGACCACTATGTATGGTACATTCGTGCCCACCCCATTTTACATCTCCGATATACATTGGGGATCTTGGGACAATATAGCTGAGCTTCCACATCACAGTTCAGCTCATCTTTACTGAAGATACTTTAATAAAGGGCTTTTTTCAATTAGGGACATAGTTACAGAGATTTTCATAGTTTAAAAGCAATGTTGCTGCCTTTTATTTGTTTGGTTGTTGTTTTTTTATATAAACAACATTTTTGGTTATTATTATTTTCATGGAGATTTCAAGAGTCACTAAAGCCGTTTTTCTTATATATGGGCAGCAGGCGTATATGTGTTATGCCCTACTATGAAGAGACCTTTTATTGTTAAAGTACATATTCAGATCTTGTAATTCAAAGTAATTCATTAATGTTACAGTTAAAAATCTCAGGAGTAAATTATACAATCTGTATTTAACAGCCTACAAGTAAAACATTAAAAAGAAACTGTCATCTGTAATCATTCTACAATCAAATAGCTTTATAATTTAAAACACATTTATATACTGAAAGAGGTGCTGATATATGGGAGAGTGTAATACTGTGTGCTTAAAGGGTTATTCCAAGCACTATAACCATTTCAGTGATTTGAAGTGGTCATGGTGCCTGGAGTCTGTTTGTGCAGTGTTTCACTATAAAATAATTTATCCCTTTGCTGCCAGAGGTGTATCTCCATGTACACCACCATCTTACAAGTACTTGGACTGGCAAGAGGAAGCATTCCGATGTAGCGAATGGGTATTAGCTGTACTATTTGTTTTGCATTTTAACCTATACGAGAAGCAAAGTTTGTTATGATACTTGGAACATGTCTTCAAATGGCTACTCGAGCCAAAAACTGTGTTGTAATAAAATAGTGTTTTAGTCAAGGTAACCCTTACTGCCACCCAGAGGTAAAACTTACCCCTGTTTCAGTGCTGCGGACAAGGTTTCCCAGCTTGGAGATAAGATCCTGGCCTCCATTGGTCGTCTGTAACTAATAGGTTTTGTGTGCTGACGACAGATGCCAGTATGCACAGAACTGACATTAGCCAGCTCGGAACTATTTTTATGGGATGGCTAATGACACCTAAAAAAAAACCTCTACTGGAGGTGGAGTTACACCTCCGTAAGCAAAAGGCTATATCTCTGTATATGCAGAGATCACTTAAATGGTCTTGGGTCTTAAATTAGCCCTTTAAATTTGTATGGATGTAGTGTTCTAATTGAAATGTTATACAAATAGGTAATTTCATGTCTTCATTTGGAATGTAGATTTAAAGTATTTTTTAATTTGTACTTGTTAAGTTATCACTTCCTAATATTTACATAACTCTGGTTTTCATATGTAATTATTTCAGCACTTGACGTTGCTGAGATTTAAAGTCTACTACACCAGGATAAATGACACCCATAATTTCACCACACTACATAATTTTACACCCAACCAAACTGACACTACCCACATCTTGCACATTATTAACCTAAATTGGTATGTTTTGTAATTTATTTATTTATTTCCACCCTCAGACGAACCTGCAGAAAATACTCTAGAAAACAACTGACCTTTCATGCAAAGCCAGCAAGAACCAAACACTTAATTTCTTAAATTATAGGCCGATGTGTCCTGGGTGATCAAAAGAGCAATTAGAGAAACAAAATCAACATGAAAATCTGCTGAATATGCCAAAAAACTGTCAATTTCCTCGTAAACATACCCGATAAATAATTGCATACTAAATGTTTAGCTTGATCTTAAAAATTGCCTCACATTTATATTGGCTAAAGAAAAGCTGCCACTTTTAATGTGAGTGGTGTTTGACATCTCCAGGGTTATTCACTAATGTGTGAATTGTTGGGAATTTAATTTAAACTCACAGTGAATTTCAAATGTTATGCCAAACTAGCAAAATTGAAACAAAAAATCTCTGTTAATC